ATTTTTAAAATGTTTATATATAGTATCAAGAAATTTTGGAGTCAAGGTAGCAATGTCTTTGAGATCGAGGGCCATTTTCCTCTTTTTGTGTTTAGGGTTATTGCTATTAGGACAAATGCCCCTGATGTACGAAGAAAGTTACCACCACCAAATAAACAAGTGACTTTCCCTAAAGCAAGGAGAACGTTTATTAAAAGTGAACACCTAACGGTCCGAAAAGAAAAGAAGAGTGTGAAATGAAAAGGGGGGAATATATCTATTTAATGTATTTATATTTGTTTTTTTTTTTTTTTAATCGCTACACATGAACAAATATTAGTGGTGAACCTTTTTTCTCTGGTGTTTCGTATATAATAGGCTATACTGTATAAAAATCCCAGTAGCTACGAGGGCGTGGTGTTACTTCTATTGGTAAAAATCTATAAACCCTGTTTTACTTCCTTTTCCGAAAGTCATTAAAAGAGAAAGTCAATTCTATGATGAAAGTGGAAATGTTTGTGTGAGCATTGTAATATAGAGTATCGAATGTGTACAGTACGTTTTTTATACAATCAATTGGCAAATCATTTTTTAATAGGTTTCAAAAAATTATCCATCACTTCTTAATCACGTTATAATGAATTGATTGGTAAGTAACAAATGTGATCACCATGTATGCATACGTTGTATTCAATCGCGATGAACAAAAGAGGGGAAAAAGAGAATCATTTTTGTCACGACATAATTGTGAACACTTTTGAAAAATGACTCAAAATAATAACGGTTTAATGCGCTTTCTATTATCGGTCAATGTTTGCTATATAGCGCGGTGCATCCTCAAAGGATGATTAATGTTGCGCGAAGCTCAAATTATCAATTTTGTGTACGCAAGTATACAATTGAACATTGTACATACGTACACATACTCGAGTAGGTGTGTGTGTATGTGATATAAGAAGAGGGTGTGTACTGTATGCTCTAAATTGATTAGGTAATTGCCACGTATCAGGTGTATAAGAAGTGTGTTGTCAATAAACGAAGCATCACGCGTCGAGTGATGATACATACATATGAATGTGTTAAAATTTTTGAACGGGCTTAGTCAATCCAAATTCAATCGGTACGAATATGCTCTTATTCATCCATTTGTATACGTCAATTGTTGCCTAATTTGATGCATGATAAGCCAAACCATGTTTGTTGCTTGTTTGATAGAATCCCGTCTGAACAAACTGCGAGATAGGGGGTGTGTGAACGTACGCTGATACATGGTTAAGTAAGTTCAAGAGAAAAAAAGATGATTCACATTACTTAGTGTAAATGTTCTCTTTAGCTTGGCCAGAATGTGCATACCAGAAAGAACAAAGATCGCATTGTCAAAATCAGTTTCAGCATTAATAATGCATGAGAATGCAAAGAAGTTCATTCTGCAACGAGATACCGTTGAAATTAATACATCATGAAACGTAAGCGCAATGTGTTCTATTAAGTGTGTGCGACGTGCTGTACGCATGCAAGTACGATCAACACTAATATTTTATTTTTTTTTGCTTAGATGTAACAATGGATCCATATATGATGGTACGACGCAACAAATGAGATAATAGTGACAACCACCATATTATACCAAATTTCTTAATAATCAGATGTTCAAGAAAAAGATTATTTATTTATTTATTATGAAACGAATTGACGGCCCTTCGTTGTTCATTCAGTCGAGAATGAAAGAACGTCCGTAGAATCGATGCGCTAGATCGACATGTAAAAGGTTAACCCATATATATACAATAATATCCAAAATGGGCACGTTAATATTGTTTTAACAAAGATTTGCGAAATATACAGTCAAAATGTTGACCACTTTTTTTCATTTGCCACGGTAAATTGCGTCATCTCATATTGCCAAAATTGTATTACGGGCGGATAATAGACAAAATAGACAAGGTTTCAAAGCTACTTTTTGTCTCAAAGGTCATCTGAGTGACACAACGTGCAAAACTGGACGATTCGCTTAAATTCCCTCCAAATCTCACCGTCTGGCGGAAAAAAATTTTCTTTTTTTTTGATCACAGCAAATAAACAAAGATGCTGTGCTTATTATTAATAAAAAGTTAAGAGTTGGTCGCTTAGAAAGGAAAGATGGCGGAATTTGTTATAATCAAGTGATTTGAAGTTCGAAAAAGGTTCTTCACCTAGCTGTACCGTTTATGCACATAGAAAAATTCCAAATCTCTTGTGGGAACCTTAAATAAACCGAAAGTGTGTAACAACAATAACGTAGGCAATTACGGCAATTATGCGTCGACTAGAATATTTTAATCTGGTTAGTTATTTGCGGAGAACGTAAACAATGAATGAGATCTACAAAACATGATGCTGGTTATTTTTATACCTAAGACGTTTAATTTCCGAAACGTTTGTGGCTATAGTTTCGTCATGTTTATCCAATCGGGTCGCGTTCTTGGAAACCCATGTTTTAACGAATCGAACGCTTACGAATAAACATCAATTCACTTCGTATTCAGGCGACGCAAACGATAGATCGAAGAATATAAGCGCCTGTTTAGAAACATAATTTTATAATGTAATGATTCCCGTAAAACAGCGTAGGTTGAAAGATTATTTTAGGTTTTCGATTGTCATGAGTCCATTGTTCTCCGGTGCATCTCCCGATTCATTTCGTCTCACCTTTGTACCATGCATTGCATCACAGGATTACGGGACTTCTATTTCTCTCGTCTTGGTTCTGTGAAAATAATAAATTTTTGTGTTCTCTGTGAATTTACCTTATGTAGAAAACTGATACACGTTACACAATGGTTGTAACGAGGTCACATGCATGTTATTGCATAATGCTGTTTATGAAATTTGGGATCTACAACCAACTTAACTTCTTCCCCGGTGATTGTGACGGCACAATGGCATTGACGCGTTTTAGCCCTTTACCTCCAAATTTTAAGATAGACACATATTTAGCAATATTCGGTTGCATTTCATTTTCTTTAATATACGTCGGAGCTTTGTATATTTCAAAGAAGACAAGAATTGGTACTGAAAACCCGGGTCTAACAAAAGATCATCCGGAAGTCATTATACAGCGTATAAAGGTCACCGCTGCAACATGTATAATCTCTTATACTTCGGTTCTGACGATCATAAATTTAGGCGGCGGTTTCAAAAATGTGGATGATAACGAAGACATGGTATGGATGCAGATTGTGTCTATCAAATGACCAAATAATCCACTCATCATTAGTTTCAATTGCAATCTATCCACAGGATTTATTCACAAAGATCAAAACAACTTCTATCCTATTAGGACTTTGGCTTCCATTCAACCTATATTATCTGTTCAACGTCCTATTTGTTCCATTGCTTCTCACAATGATTTTGTTCTTGGGTCCCTTATATGTCAGATATTTGGATCAAGAGTTGCCGTTTCAAGAACGGTTTAGTTTTATAAGTGAATTTGGTTATGCGTTTACAACTCTGAAAGGATTTAGGAATCTGATTTTTGTAAATGATCTTATCGTTCATTACACTTTCTTTCTCTTTTCTTTTCTATATTTGATCAAGCATTTTTTAACTCATTTTACCTTTCATTTTTACAGGCTCCATTTACTGAAGAATTTGTATTTAGATCTTGCATGGTCCCATTGCTCTATTATGCCAAAGTCAATTACCAATCAATAATATGGCTGACGCCTCTGGTTTTTGCATTCGGTATTTGCTTTATATTGTTATATAGTTCATCCGTAACTTCAAAATACTCACAGCGTCATTCATTGCGGTGCAGCTCATATACATCACGCTTGGGAGTATTATGTTGGAAATGGAAGGACTTTTATTGCTGCCAAGCAAGGAATCCTGAATTCTGGTAAACTGAGAATTTCTTTTTTTCCCTTCTTTTACCATGCTTCAGTCGTTTCTCGGACTTGTTCTTAGATTAACCTTTCGTCAATTTTATTTTATAGCATTTCAATTTGCATATACAACAATCTTTGGTTGTTTCGCTACATTTGTGTTTATGCGCACTGGTGATTGATTTCTTCATTTCATCTCTTATAATACCCAATGCATTCAAGAGGGTATCATTTTAACCCTCGCTTCCTTGCATTTTGCGAACAGGGAATTTCTTCCCACCATTCATTATACACAGCTTTGGAAATTATCAGGGGTTCCCAATAGTTAACTTTGCGGCATACCCCAAGAAGCAACGTTCATGTGAGTTATCATCCGGTACAATGATAATAAAACACTTTGAAAAAAATTGTTTACTGTTTCCATCACATTCTATCATTATTAATAACTAACATTAACTTTACACAATACTTATTCTTTAATGAGTAAAGTCATGTATGTGGCTTTTTTTGTAGGGCTGTTAGGATTTGGATCCTTACTATTTCCAATGACTTCTCCCGGCTTATATGGAGAAACCACGCTATACTGGGGGTAATTTCTTATGGTGATGATAATTGGATTGAATATTTTTCTATAAAACCAATCCAAGTCAAGGAAGGGAAAAAAATGAATATTTTTTTTCTTGAGAATAGCTGGCATCGCTTGTTATGATACTTTATTTGTTTACTTGTTAAAATTGATATATTTTTTAAATACACATGTATATTATGTCAATATATACATAAATGGCTATCTTAAAAGTAATTAAAACATTAATCTACACAGTATATATAGCTTTTTTTAAAAATAATTATGTTTAGTATTAAACTAATTTTAAAATCTTAATAATAATAATTGTTAATAGTAAATTTTTTTTTAGAAAATAGATTTCATACATAACTTTATCAGTAATTTATGACAAATAACAATCGATTCATCTTCTATTGAACATAAATAACCTTATATCAATTTCCAACATTTAAATTTATAAATCATCATTTGGTATCGATCATATTAGTTAATTGGTTCTGGATTTATCTTTTTTTTTTTTTTCAATTAAAAAGGAATTTTGAAAGAACAGTGAGTCATAATCTTTTGGAATTTTTTTTTTAAAATTTTGTATTTTATCCTGTAATTCAATAAAAAAATTATTAAAATCTTGAAAATGTTGTTATCCAAATGTTTTTAAAGTTTAAAAATCAGATAGAATAGATTTTATTAAAAAATGATTATTGTTTTAAAGATTTTAAATAATATATGAAAATTAAAAAAAATTTTCTTTCTAGAGACTGTTGCAAACAATTATATTTATGAAAAAGTTTAATAGATGTTCTTAATAAAAAGTTTAAATAAAAATCTTTAAAAAAAAAAAGATAATTAAATAAAATTTGGATTTTTATATATAAAGCAAATAAGTTTTCATAATATAGTAAATAAAAAAAATATTATTTTTTTTATATATTTAAAACATTATTCTTATATTAATTCTTTATATTATAACAATATATAATGTTATTAAATCTTTATAAAAAATAAATAATATAAAATATATTTATTATATAAATTATTTTATAAACTTGAATATTTATTTTAAATTAATATTTTAAAATAATATTTTAAAAATAAAGACACTTGTTTTCTTTACTATTTAGTTACCTATAAAATTTGAAAATTATTATTTACAGATTATTATTTTAATTTATTTAAACAAAATCTAAATTCTTTTTTATAAAAATAATTTAAGATACCAATTTAATTTTATAATGTGTTACAAAACTTTTTGAGATTTTTTTAAAATTTTTAATATTTTAATCAATAGTAAAGTAAAAAATAAAATAAAAAATTTATAAAAAAGATATAATATTATTGTCATTATTAATCAATTTTTGGATTTATTATATTTGAATTTACAAAGTTATAAAATTGAAAAATTGAAAATTATATAAAAATTTTTTTAAAAAAAATAATAAGTTAATAAATTTTTAAATTTATTGTATTAAAATTTTAATAATTTTAATGAAATTTTTATTTGCAATCAATTTTTAATACTTAAAAAATTTAAAAAATATTTTTATATAAATTTATATTATTGTAATTTTTAGATTTTAAAAACTTTATTTTAATATATTTTTTATTAATATTTATATAATAGTTTTTAAATAACAAATAAATAAAAAATTCCAAAAAGTTTAGCAATACATTATATATAAGATCAATTAAAAATAATATCTGATGTTATAATTAGTAACACATTGCTTTTTATAAAAAATCAGCTTATATGCTAATTCAATAAGTATTGAAGTTATAATATTACAAAGATATAATAATATAATAATTACTTGATTGATATATAATAATTAAGAATTTTAATAATTTGATTTGATTTAATTCTGTATTTAATTATTAAGCTTATATTAAATTTAATAAGTAAAATATATATTTTAAATTTATATAATTATCTTTAATTTCAATTTTAGAACTATAATAATAATTACAATAAAAATAATTGTAAAAAAATATTGAAAATATTTAATTTAAAGCAAAATTAATTTGATAATTTCTTATTTTATAATATTTAATATCTTTTAAATTTATTCTATAAGAATAGCTTTATTCTAATCCAATAAAAAGCTTTTTTCAGTATTAATTATTTTATAAAAATTAATATAAGATCTCAAATAATCAATATTCTTAAATAAAAAACAATTATATCTTTATTAATAATTATAAGTTTTTTAAATATTTTGAATTTTTATTAAAATAATAAAAATTAAATAGTAATATTTAATTACAAGTAATAATAAAAAATAATTCTTAATAAATTTAATAAACTAAATAAGATTTTATTTATTATTATTATTTTTTTTTTTCTTTATATTATATAAAAACCTAAATAAAATTTAACTTATATATAATTGAATACAAAAAATATATTAATAATACTTAAGTACACTAGTTTTTTAATTAAAAATTAACAAGTTATATAAAACAAATTTCTAAAAATTAGTCAAATAACCTTATTTTAAGCTTTATATAAATTTAATATAAAGAAAAAATAAAATAAAAATAAAAACTTTCTTTTGATCATATCTATTTTGTTAAAAAAATTTCTTTTATAGTAATTTTAAACAAAAAAAAATATTTAATACTTTTTATTGCAAGTAAGCTTCAGCTCAAGAACTCAAGAACCTTCAAGACAACTGATGCAGTAAAATAGAACCTTTAATCAAAGTCTATTCAAGTTTGGAAGTCTTGCTTATTCTTCAGTTATATAAAAAAAGGTACATAGTAATTCTTTTTTCTTTTGTTCTCTTGCATCCCTTCTTATTTTTATTATATTACAAAAACCATTTATATTAATATCATTATACTTGCTAAGTCAAATACTTTTCAAAAAATATACTTAAACAAAATTGTTGAATCTATTGTTTATTTTAACACAATCTTTACACATAACTCTATAATGGCACTATTTATTATACCTAGGGTTCCGAAAAAGTACCGAACTGATATCGAACTGGTATCGAAATGGTACCGATCTATAGTAAATTTAATATATGGATTGTGACCTACTCATATGTTTTTAT